GCCCATGACAATTTGGCCTCAGCATCCTCTTCTAGTTTATGCCCTTCCTCCATTCATTCATTTATTAAACAAACGTTTAGTGAAAATGCACAATATGAACTTCCTGGTGTAATTAGGCCACATTGCTCTCTGTACATTCTTAAATCTTCTGTGTCCACTCCTTACCTCCGAAACTTGCTAATCAATGCCTTTTTCTAATCTGCCACCCTTGCACCCACAATACTTGAGGGCATTTCATTTTATTTTTTTATGTTCTTCACGTTTCCTAGAGTGACTCCTCACATGTAACAAACCCTCAATAAGCACGTGTTAATTAAATGACTTCATAATGAAAGAACTGAACAATTATATGGTAAACTGCTTAGAAAAATACAGGTTCTTGAAGCAGTGGGGAAGAAAACTAGTAAGTTAAACATTAAAAAAAAGCGCCTACCTCATTGCTGCTAATTATCTGTTGTACAAAATATTCAACTTTCTACCTCAAGTCTGTACTGACTGCCTGTCTCTGAATATCAACAATCACAATCACATGATGGATGTACTAGAAGATTACATATCTTTTTATTCATTTCACACATTTTAGACGTTCAAAACTAATATCAGATTAGTTTTTAGGAGAGGAAAAAGTCATTTATCGAAGGCAATATTAACCTTTGTCATGAAAATACATTTATCTCATATGATGCGCATTTATTTTGCATAGCATCATTTATTGGCCATTTTGCTGCGAGCAGGATTTGTGTGAGGTGCCCTGGGACACAAAGCCTAGGTCCAGTTATCAGAAAGAAACTTAAAGGGTAGATGCGAGCAGGACTTTCACATGCCAGTTAAAGTGCCGTAGGTGATGCAGCGCACCTAGTCAGGGAAGATGGATAAGAGGCTTGAGGTTGGCCAGGAAGGTTAAATTGGATGCAAATGAGCAAAGAAAAAGGCAAAGACTGAGGGAAGGCAGTAACACCCTTGTACAGTATTTAGAGGGTTTTGTTGTTGTTTTTTCAACATGATTACCTTACGGAAGTACAAGATGCTAAAGTGATTCTAAAGCAGCCATGAAAAGTGTGTGTTCTGTGTCTTAGGACTTTAATAAGCCACGATGGCTCCTATGATGATTACTGAAGCAACCATGGCACCAGTGCCCTAAGCTTCCTGAGTACATGGATACTGGTCCACAGAATGGCAATGCTAAAGAGTTGCAATGGCTTTACAGCATGCTTACATGAATTCACCCAAGCTCTCAACAAAGCAGGTGGCTCATGGGAAACCTGCTGACAGGATGCTGTCACTGGCACAAAGTTACCTGTCTTAGGCATTGTTCTGGTCCAGGGAGGTTGGCAGAACATCTCCTTAAGTTGGTGGTTAAATGTCTTTTACTTTACCAAAATCATTAGGTGCCTGAACTCTCTTTGAGGACAACATTTTAGCCATCTCTTCATTTTGATCCCTAGCCCTAGTACTTAGCAATTACCGGGGTGCGGGGTGGGGGTGAGGGTGGGGGGCGGCGTTCAGTTAATGTTTGGAAAGCTAACAAATGAATGAATGGTTAGATGAAGGGGGAACATAATAGTTTATTTATTTATAATTTCAAAACCTGAGGAGAGTTTGGATTAACTGCAAGAACAAATATATGAACAGATGATGCTGTCTAGGCTTAGGAGATGAGTTAAAACGAACAGGAGCCCATTAAGGTCTCTGCATTGTGGCCATAGCAGGCTTTGTTTGGTAACTGTACCTCCTCCCTTGTCTTTGTTTTATGGAAACTCCATTGTAACTCCATTGTGCTGTTGAACAAGTAAGGTTCAAAAAGGAAAGCTGCAAATTTCACTAGTCCTGACCCTACAAGTGTTTTAGAAAATGAAATGGAAGTTATGGGAGCAGAAGAAAATGAGTTTCGTTATTTTGAGGTGGGGAGGAGATTAATGACCTTGGAGCAAAGCGTGTACACAATAAAGGCTGGGTGAGTGCCCTGGCCAGTTTTGTTAAGTGGTTAGAACACTGGCCATGGACCAATGCTTCTCAGGTTCAATTCACTGCCAAGGGCATGTACCTTGGTCTGCAGGTTTGATCCCTGGCACTGGCAGGGGTGCATGTGGGAGGCAAGTCGTCGATGTGAGTTTTTCTTTCTCTCTCTTTCTTTTCCCTACTCCTCCCCTCCTTTCACTCTCTCTGAAAATCAATAGGAAATATATCCTCAGGTGAGGATTAAAATAAATCAATCAATTAATTAATTAAGGATAGTTATGAGGCCTGGAGCATTACTTAATCAGTAATTTTTGCAGTGTTCTGTCTGAAAATAGAGAAGCAACTGAAAGTAGAAAAAAATAGAAATGAGAACTATGATTTAATTAATCAAATTTTGTGGGGTGGTTTTCTTCTATAGGGATTCTTCTTCCACCCTATTATTTTATTTTTACTATTGTTACTATCTTATCATTTTGGCCGCTTTGCAGGATTGAAACAAACAAACAAAACATACATGAGGATATGTCTGATAAAGCAAAACCCAAATGCTATTAGCCATTCCATTCCAGACCCATGAGATGGAGCAGCTTTGAACTTCATCAATATAAATGTTCCACTCATACATTTTCATGTCTTGATGTCAGAGTTAATTTTAGTTACAAATGGGCCTCTTACCTATATGGCTAGTAGAACTTGTAGACATTTGGGACTTAATTTTACTCATGTAAACATGGCCCTACTCTCTTGTCAGTCATTATTAGATACAATGTTAAACTGAATAAAGTTAAATCTGAAACCAAGACAATTTCAAGCTTATGTCAGTTTTAGTCTGCTTTGAGACTGTGTCGATTTCCAATGAAATGAAGGCATCAGGAACTCCATGGCCAATTTTCCCAAGCAAGACAAAGTCTCCTAAGATTCCAGGAGCAGATTCCAGTTGAACCTTTATGTCACAAATCATTGCAATTCCCAGCCCTAAAATCCTCCAGGTGATATGATTACTTTAAAAATCTGGATTGTATCCAAATGTGAGACATAAATGAGGTTGAGACTTACCAATTGCTTGCCATCATCTTTTTAATTTAAATCCTTTTTTTATGTTTTCTGTTGTACCCAATTAACAGGAAAATAATAAATTTTTCATGTGTGGTCTTATTCGACCCAATACATAGGTCTCTCTGATTTAAATTCTTCTGTTTGGCATCCTTAACCCACACCTAAGTTACATCATCATCATTACTGTGTTTTTATATTTACAGTGAAATTTGCTTATGAATTAAAAGCTAGTCTCTGCTTGTAACACTAGAAACTGAACAAGTCCCAGCATAGTCCCAAAGCAAGATTAATAATGACATGTCATAATATTCAGCCATAGTAATATCTCTGAGCAAAACTTTATCGTCAACATTTCTTTGTGGAGCCCAGAAGCTGTGTCAGTCGTTTTCTGCTCTCCCTACTGACCTTTTGGGAAATTTTCTTCCACTGATGGAATTGTCATTCTGTCACAGGAAAAGACAACAGAGTAATGGAAAGTGTTGGCTGGCAAAAGCAAGGGTTCAGGCTGGCCTATCTGGGGCAGTTCCAGTAATTTCTTCCTCCTAATATAATGGGAAATGAGTATTAAGATTTTGAAGTTTCATTAGCACACTTCAAAATTATTTGGCTAGGCATTAAAAATAATTGAATATAGTAAATGTATAGTTTGAAATATTATAGTTCCTCAATTTTTATGCAATTTTAAACAGCATAAAAACATTGTACCCTTACACTCCTTATTTTTGTCAGGGCTTTTACTAGGTATGCACTAAAAAACCACACAACAGATTGGTTGGCCAAGTGAGGCCTGCTGCTCTTTTCAGAAGGTTTCAGGACACTTTGCCCAGGAGACTTCTGAGTGTTACTCCTGCTGACAAAGTGGTGAGGTGGGCAGCCCATTCAATCGGTAACTGCTGAATCTATAAGAAGGTTTTTTCTCATTATGAATCTATTTTTGTTTTCTTTAACATCTACTAGTGTGTCTTTTTCTGTTGACTTCTCCAACTCTCCTTTTGTCTTTTTAAGCCAGAAATACCCTGATCTTTACCTGATCATTCTGGAATTAATCATTTATAAATTTACTTATTTTCAAAGTTCTATGGAATGTCTTTAGATGAGATATGACCTGTAATTAAAACCACAGTACCTGACAATTAATCACATTCAGTAAAATTTGTTGCATTTTTGTTTTAAAAATACCAGTCTAGTGCACAGGAAAGCACAGGGACTATGAAATTAAAGAGGCCTAGATTCTATTGCAGTTAAATTATTAACTTGCTCTAGGACCTTGGGCTACATTTTTCACCTTTTTCATTCTCTGTATTCTCAGTTTCATTAAAAAAAATCTCATTTTACAAAGTTGTGTTCAGGATTATCTGTGCCAGTATCCATAAAATACCTAGTACAGTTTCTAGCACATAATAGTTGTTCGGTAAATATTAGTCTTCACACACAGCTCATCCTTCCCAACCCCACCTCCCTTGTAATCTAGAACAGCAGTGTAAACAGGAAAAGAGAAGCCTTGGCTTCCAGCTTTGCCCTTTCTATGCCCATGACCTTGGACAAATCACTTTATCTCCTTGCATGGTTCCCTATCAAATAGTCTCATTTCTACTACAAAAGTTTGTTGTAAGAATCAAATAGATATTGGATTGGTAATAAATTTTAAATATCACGATGTGTTCTCTTAATGTAAGCTATTGTAATTGCTGGTAGTAATTTATCAGTGAATAACTGCTGAATGAATGAATGAATGAATGATCTATTCCCCCACTTCTCCCTCCCCACACAGGATCAGGGAGGAAAAGCCCAGCAAACTTAATATTGAAAACTGGTTCACATGTGCTTATGGAAATACGCGCATATGGGAACATTTGCCTGATCAATGCAAATCCCAGAAAACGCTCTCACATAAACATCTGGCAGAAGAGCCATTGACTGCAAAAGTTCAGAATCCCAGAGTTATAGTTGTCAATGACTGACACTCTTCCTTTAATTTCTTCCAGGAATTTCTATTACATCACAATGTTGCGTGATCCAGTGTCCCGTTACCTGAGCGAGTGGAAACATGTCCAGAGAGGAGCCACATGGAAAACCTCCCTCCACATGTGTGATGGGAGAAGCCCCACCCCCGATGAGCTACCTACCTGCTACCCTGGGGATGACTGGTCTGGGGTTAGCTTGCGAGAGTTCATGGACTGCACCTACAACCTGGCGAACAACCGCCAGGTGCGCATGCTGGCGGACCTCAGCCTGGTGGGCTGCTACAACTTGACTTTCATGAATGAGAGCGAGAGAAATACCATCCTGTTGCAGAGCGCGAAAAACAACCTGAAGAACATGGCCTTCTTTGGGCTCACGGAATTCCAGAGGAAGACGCAGTTTCTCTTTGAGAGGACATTCAACCTCAAGTTCATCTCTCCCTTCACACAGTTCAACATCACGCGGGCTTCCAATGTGGAGATCAATGACGGTGCTCGCCAACGCATCGAGGAGCTCAACTTCCTGGACATGCAGCTTTATGAGTACGCAAAAGATCTCTTCCAGCAGCGCTACCACCACACCAAGCAGCTGGAGCACCAGAGGGACCGGCAAAAGAGGAGGGAGGAGCGGAGGCTGCAGCGGGAGTCGAGGAGCCACCGGTGGCCCAAAGAGGATGGGAACACAGAGGGGGCCGTCACCGAGGACTACAACAGTCAGGTGGTGAGATGGTGACCCCCTGCCTCTCCTCCCTGTGGCGTTACCTTGGAGACTCTTGGGCCATTCTGAGGGCATCTGGCTGTATGTGGCCGGAGGGGGACACCTGCTTCCTCCTTCCCTTCACCTTTATCCAGCTGGAGAGGATCGGTCTTGTTCTTTACTTCCTGACATTTGCCCATCTGTGATATGGAGGAGGGTAGGGATGCATCCGGGATACCCCACTTCAGAAGGTCAAGGAGAGAAGCACCAAAAAGGAAACAGTGTCCTTGCAATCTCCTTGGCACAGCACAGGTGACACTCTGGGTGACTGGACCCACAGAGGCAGACATGAAAAGCCAAACCGTGGCTTGGATGTTCTGCCGAAACTGGTCTGTTTCATACTGTCTCTGTAATGGAAATATTGGTTGGTTTCAAGAGAGAGGAGAGAAAGAAGTCCCTCTCAGCCCTTTGATAAGGTTTTAGGCCAACTCTTACTTTGCTGTTGGCTGTCATCTTTGAACTCTGTTTGAATGGGGTTCAAATCAGAAGAAGAGAAATGTGTTTTGTTGCCGTCTTTTAAAACAAGATTCTCCTACTATTGACCATCACTAGAGACTCACATCTGACAAAGCCCTGCATCCCAGCCCTGAGCCATGTTTCCTTCCCCACATGTTAGGGAACTGCAAGTGGATTCAGGTCAGGGTGCCCGTGGCCCCTGAGAAATGAACGTTGGTAGGGGCATTTGGGAGAAAATGTCTTATTAACTAATGCCTATGGAGAGAACTCTTTACCAAGTTGTATTTTCAGTGTAAGGAATGAATGATAAAGGGGGCTGGCGGGAAGCTGGAGGGTAGATACATGCCTACCATTTCCAAACTGGCTACAGACCTCAGGTGTATGTTTTTTTTAAAGAACATTTCCAAGTTTTATCTCTTTGGAACAGCCATCTTCTCTGATATGGTACTGCCAGGTCTGAAATTCTAATATCACAGAGGGAAAGACATTTGAAAAGAATTTGGCTTGAAGAATATGAGCTTACGGTAGCTATCAGGTATATAAAACATATTTGGGGTCCTTAAATAAATAATAATTTTGATTTAGGCCAGGAGATACAGAACATAATGGTGCGATTATCCTGGGAGTTTAAAAAGACTCTACCTCCCAAAATCTTAAATATTTCTAGCCAGATAACTGTTTCCTCCCCACATGGTCTTTGCCTGTTGTTAGATTCTGGCTACAGCTGGCACTGGCTGGAGTGTATAAAACTGAACCCCCCAAAATGCACAGCATTGCTGAATGTTTCTTATTTTCACCTTTTCCCAATCACAACTATGATAACACCATGCTTTTGAATAATAGGGGGAGAAGTATGGGAGAGGACATCGAGATCCCTTGCCTACCTACCAATCAGTTAGGAGGATCAGAGTGAGTAGTAAGTTTCACAATAGATTTGTCTGATCAATCCCCTCAAGGAGCTGAAGGCAAAATGAGTGAAACTCCTAAATCAGATTGAAAAGCCTACTTCATTGATATCCAACATGTTTGATGTTTAAGCCAGCTTTGTATAAGCCACATCTCATCCTTCGGAATACTCTCTCTGGGGTTGAGAGTCAATCAACCCAGAGGCATTCATGGATCGACTGCCTGCACGGAAGGAAGCCTGGTGCTTCCATCAAAGGGAGGCCTAGAAAAATCACATAGACTCTTCTCTCACGACCCTTGGCTTCATCTGTCATGTGACAGAAGGCATTTTGGGGGACCTCCCTTTTGCCAGGACCTGTGGGAGGCCCTTTTTCATACTTTAAATCTATTCACAACCAGGTATATAGTATTAGTCCCAATTTCATAGGTGGGTAAAGTGAAACCCACTGACAAAATGTAGCTTTCCCCTGACTGTATGCTAGGTCTGGTTCACTGCAAAGTGCAGTCTCTTTGGATTCCATCATGATTTCCATTTGGGATAAAAGCTTTTGGCCAATCATGCAAGAATCCAGCCATTATTGCCCAGAAGTATATGCCTCTATCCCCTATGGGTGACACAACGGGACAGCACTAAGGTGGCAGTGACCCAGAGCCATGGGGCCTTGTGGTGAGTCCGGCCCTCTCCACATCAATAAACTGAGAGATTGATGACTTCTTAGGCAATTTTACTTTGTCAGCCATTCATGAGGGTGAGTTAAAGGGGCCAAGTAAATATTGCTCATTATTTGGTGGCGATTAGGCTCACAAAATATTAATGTTTTCTTTTCTGATGATTTGTTCCTAAGGTAGGGAGGGAAGGAGATTGCAGCTGGGATTACTGAGAAGCTCGCTCTCTCTTCACATTTTGATGTTAACATCGAATGTCCTGCCCAGGATGGCATTCGGCAGGTCTGCAAATTACCCTCTGCCTGCTATTGTCACACACACACACACACACACACACACACACACACACACACACACCCCACAATGATGATCTAGTCTTTTGTCCTGTGGAAAATCAAACCAAGTTCGAAAGCATACAGGTTGTTTCCTTTAAACTCACTTTAAATTTTTGGCAGGGAATTGGTGCATAGCTGAGACTTGGAGGCAGCCTCTGCTAACTTCACACTGCTTCTTAGGCACCTCGGGATTGATATCAAAAGGCTTTCGTGGCCTTGCTGCTAAAGGCGTGATGTATGGTGCTCCACTGGAGACCAGCTATCAGGATGTTCAGAGGAGAAACCATCTCTTCGTGTTGGCCCGAGGCCAGTGCTGAGCAAATTAAAAAGACCGACAAGGGCTTTCTCCTTCATATCATTTCATTCTAAAGCAGCACACTTGTCATATCCCTGGGGTCCTATGTTGATAGAAACGAAGAGGTGGGGATGCGGTTTGTTCTCTGAAAATTGACTGCACACCTACATGCTGAGGGAAGCTCGGGGAAGTGATGCCAATAAAAGGCATGTGGGCCAAAGGATCCAGGGGAAGTTGTCGGCCTTCAGATCCCAAACCAAATCAATTCCAGATACATTAGTGTTAAAAGTGTGTGTGTGTGTGTGTGGGTGTGTGTGTGTGTGTGAGAGAGAGAGAGAGAGAGAGAGAGAGAGAGAGAGAGAACAAGACAGAGAATTCCCTAGGGAGTGCCACATCCTATTGACTCCTGCAACTCTGAGGCGGACATTCCTTTCCTTCTCTCAGCAATGGCAGCCCCAGTAATGAGACTGGGATGCGGTGTCTGTGTGTGTATCTGTGTATGTTGACATTATTATTATCATTATTAAGGACTAAGGAGGCTATTCTGCCTCCTCGTTTATTGGCAGCCTCCTCTTGGTAACTGGGGAAAACCTGCCCTGAGAATTATCTGGATCCCCTTTATAATAATTAATATCATTAGCAATTAGTTTTAGGCAGCAGTTAAAAATATCACATGTGGTGTTAAATTTATAAAAAACAAGTTTTTTTTTATCATCTAAAGGAGGTAACTGTCACAAATAGTTTGACCAATGGTTTGAAAAATGAGGATTTGTTCAAAAGTCTGTCTAGAGATAGTATATAGTATGGGAGAGAAGGTCTACCAGATAGACCTGGCAAGGAGGTGAGGTGAGCATAGATCATAAAACTAACTATAAGTAGTTTATTGGATAGGTTTTCCATTTGGCTGATTTAACAAAGAAACTCAAAATGTTAGTGACTTCAATAAGATGGAAGAATTGTTCTCTCACTTAAAAGACAAACTGGTTGGATAACTGGTGTGTGACATTACCAGAAACCGAGGCACTCTCTTGCTCTCTTGTCCTAATGTGCAGATTCCATCTCCTGGCCCAAGATGACTGCTGCAGCTCCTGCCATCTCATCTACATTTAAGACAACAAAGAGGGGACATGGAAAGAAGTTGCACATATCACTTATAGCCACATCTTATGGGCTAGCACCTAGCCATTAGCTACATTTAGCAAAGAAAGGCATGAAATGTCTTTGTTATTGGTTGCTATGTGCCTTGATATGAAGGTCCTATTATTTAATGAAATAATGTAAAAATTAATACTGATGAAACTATTAGTCTGACACAAAGGGGAATTAAAAAATACATCCAGTGATTTTTGATGTCATCTATATAGTCATATGTTTTACAATAGATAAGATTAAAATTCATAACTTTATATAGCACTTAATGTTTTTAAAAACATTTTTACCTTTAGTATCTCATTGATTTTCAGTACATTCTTATATGTTAAATAGGACCTCTACGCATTACCCATTAGATAGTTTGATATGGAAATTCAGAGATGTCGAGAGATTTCCCAAAGATTACAGTTTACTAACAAGGAAGTTGCTCGGAACCCCAGACTTTTGACTTCAAGTCTTTCCTACTATTTTGTGCTGCTTAGCATCAGATTTGGGGTTGGGAATTGAAAAAAAATATGAATCTAAACCTTTATTGATTTATATCTTCCCTTACCTTTTCATGGAACTGCAGTGATTTAGATAATGCCAAGGAGACTGGCAGAGTTGGCCCATAAGCCCCTGCGTCTAGTGAGGGAGCCTGTTAATAGGAGTGAAATGGCCAAAAAATTGTCAGTGCTGCAGGGGCAACTGAAAAGCACAGGCACTCAAACATTTCTTGCTCATGTTCACCCCATCCAATCCCAAAACTGCTCAAGGACAAGGCTGAGGGGATGTGCTGACACCTCCTTAGGGAAGCTCAGTGTGAGAAATACTTACAATCAGTAGCAGCCTCAATGCTGAAGCTTAAGGGGTGATCAATAGAACCCCTGCTCTAAAAATTTACTTTTGTCTCTACCTCCTCCCTAGGTCCCTAGAATTTTATCAGCAACTTACTTTTTTTTGGTTCCTAAAGGTTTTTTAATTTTTTTTTCAGTGATTCCCTTTGCACATTTGCTAAAGAGAGGAAATGCTTTAAGCTGTCATAAGCTAACACCTCCACACAGAATGTTTATCTGGCCTCTAGCTGAGAAGAAGGTCCTATGTAATAGGAGTCATGTGGGGTGGGGGAGTCGGGGGTTAGGGAGACTGGGAATAAGCATAGAAAAAAGAGTAGAGCTCCTAAAAAGGAAGCAGACCTTGTAAAGGTGGAAAGATGAGGAATTAAACATGTGCCAGAAAATATTGAAAAATAGAAAATAACTAATATGCAGCTTCTGTCCTCAAGAACAAGAGCAGTCTGGGGACTGTAATTCTTTTGGCAATTTAAAAGGGCAGAAAAGGACATGAGGCTCATGAGACAGGACAAGAGCATGGGGATAGTTTTAGGGGCTGAAATAAAGACTGAATGAATAGAATGAGTTGGCTCAAAGAGAAAGCTGGGTGGGACTTAAGTGAAGAATACCCTGATCTGATCACAGCTGTGTCGCCAAGATTTCTCCTTTCCCATCGTTATTGTACCTCCACTGGTCTCCAGAACTCTGACTGGATGTCTCCAGGCTGGTGTCAGGGCTGGCCGAGTCTGATGATCTACTCAGCTGTGTCATCTCTGGGGAGCATGCGAAGGTTCTTTCTCCAAGACACTTTCAGCTTTTCTTCTGCTCCCTTCTTTCATCTCTAGTGGACATATACGCCTGTTATTCTCTCACCATATTCACCTGGACACATCTGAACTGATTCCCTAAAACTTTGAATCAGCCCTTTGGGGCAAGTGGGTTGGTTGAAAACCTGTGTGTTTTGTAACCTAATGGATGGAATGCACATGGATGTAAGCTTCGTGACACACAGAACCAACTGATCTTGCAGAGGTGCTGAGATTCCAGAGGACTGGCCTCGCTATAAACACCAGCAACATCTGCAAGACCAACACCCCTGGACTTCCAGGCGAGGACTCGAGGTAACCTCACGGAGCTCTGGATCTGAGAACGCGAAAGCACAGATGTTTCTTGAACTTGTGTTCTAAGTTGTCTATGGAAATAATGTGTCATCTTTTGACACACGAAGTGGAATCTCTGTGAGTTCCATGTTCTGCTGCACTGTGGTATCTCATCAAAGGGCCAGATGTCAGTGCTGGAAAACCTCAGCTCTTGCCAGGGAAAACCATGATCTGAGGAAGCAGCGTTTGTGTGATTTAGTCATTGTCACATTTGTCTCCCACCAGCTTGTCGTTATTTTTTTTTTTAAATCACGTGATCCACTTTTCTCTTCTGCCCGTGTTTTTTATTCCTCCCAGAAGTACATTCTGGGTTTTGCTTGCATTGTTTTTCATTTAATGTTTCAAAGATTTAAAAAAAATGTTGGAAAGAAAAATCTGGACTTATATCTGGTGCCCCATTTTAGATGTAAAGATAGTTACTCAATAGATAGTAAATTATTTCTCCTAAGAGATATTTCCTTTGGTTTCTGTGCAACAATATGTATGAACTCGGGTCCTAGGAGATTGTATTGTGACATTATCAACCCTTATTGCTATTTAAAAAATGATAGTTTGTAGAACTGAGGATTTCCATTGATGTGAAGCACAATTTAATGAATAAGTTAGCATATTAAACTGTTGTGATGTCAAGAACAATTGTTTTCCCCTGTGATTTTGTTAGACATTTTTGCAAAATGAGAAAAGTTGGTTAAACACTTTAAGGGATTTATGGAAACTGAACCCACAGGATCAGCTTTGTCAAACGCAAAAAATCCATGCTCTGGATACTAATGTGGTTATTGGATGTGAAACTTTAAAAGCATAAAAGTCAAAGAAAATATAGATTGAAACAATTTAAAATCTCTGAGGCCAGGGAGGATTTCACAGGCTCTCAAACACATAAGCTTCTAAAATCATGGTTGTCAGTAACCCTCCCCATTCCGTGCACACTCCAGCACATTGACATTCACTGTGAAATGTGGAAAAGCAATGTAGAGATGGAGGGAGAAGGAAACGATGTGAGAAAGAATGGTGAGAGAGTACATCAGGAATTGGAGCTAAGGAATTAGGAACTCTGTCTAAAAGGAAGGAAAAGAGAGAGGGAAGAAAAGAGGGAGAGAGAGGAAATGGGAAAAGAAAACCACAACAACTGCCCTGGCCAATGTTCACAGTGGTTAGAACATTGGCCCATGCCCAGAAGGGTTCAGGGTTCATTTCTCCGGCAAGGGCACCTACCTGGGTTTGCAGGTTTGATCCCTGGCTCTGGTCTCTGGTTGGGGCACATGCAGGAGGCAACCAATCTAAGTTTCTCTCTCTCTCTCTCTCTCTCTCTCTCTCGCTCTCTCTCTCTCTCTCGCTCTCTCTCTCTCTCTCGCTCTCTCTCTCTCTCTCGCTCTCTCTCTCTCTTCCTTCTTCCCCCTCCTACTCCCTTTAAAAAATCAGTGGAAGAATATCCTCGAGTAAGGATTAACAACAAAAAAAAGAAAGCCACAACAATAATGAAAACTAATATGGGCCTGTTCACAATTTCCAAGTGTATGGTTTGTCAGATTCTTAAAAATATCTGACCAGTTCCTATAACATAAGCAAAGCAAGCAAAAATTGATAAATAAGATATTAAACTTTTATGATGTCAAGAACAATTGTTCTGCCTGTGATTTTGTTAGATATTTTTGCAAAATGAGAAAAGTTGGTTAAACACTTGAAAGGATTTATGGAAATTAAATCCACAGGATCAGCTTTGTCAAACTCAAATGTCTAGTACAGAATAGTTTCTTCATTTAAAAATCCTTTGAATGATGCAATTTATTGTTTTCTTTTTATTCTGTAGATTTTTGGATTTCTTCCTTGCTTATGGTAACCACTAGTGAGATTTGGAGCCTTAGGAGAATGTCATTTGACCATGTCCCAATATCTAGTGCGAACCATATGCAATGGGAACTTTAGAACAATTGAAATAGGCATAGGAAAAACCCCAAAAGACAATAGAAGTCAAATGTGTGTAGGCATGTGCACATGTGCACGCACACACATGCTCACACATACACACACAGAAACACACATATTTTGGGAGCTATTATCTCCCAAGAAAAACTTCAGGTAAGTTAAGAGAAGGATTAAGAAACACTCAAGATTTATTTTTTCCACTCCATTCACCTTGAAAATAGTGTTAAAAATAAGATTTTAAAAAATGTGAAAAATACTGAAAATCTGCTCTCAATATAGTAATGTTTCATTATCATTATAATCTTTTCACATCAAATATAAATTTGAAAATTAATTAAGTCTAATTCAGCATAATTATGTTTTTATTTTATAAACAACATTGATTTTTTTTATAATTGCAAATAATACATAATCATAGATCGTGTGGAAAATAAAAAGTGCTGAAAAATCTGTACATTTCAGAGCCAAATCCTGGCATTATTTTGATCTATTTGCCTTCATATTTTTTATGCAATAACAATTAGAATAAAATTTTAAATAACAAATGTTTAATAATAGGATAATAAATCTATGCAGTGTAAATGCAGATTTTAATATCTTAATGCCCATCCTTTGACAACATAATCTCAATAGCTGCACATAATTTTATCATTCTTATATTTTGGGGTATTTTGGTCATTATCAATTATTCCCCTAATATAAATACCACTAAAATTAATATATTTGCACATAAGTAGCTTTTATGTAAGTGTCTTTGTACCTTCCTAACAACTCCGAAAGAACAAATATTCCAAAATATCAACATTACAGAGACAGAGCTAAATGAATTGTTGGGGGGAAAAAGTTGAAATGAAAGTTACCCATCTCATCAAAGAAAATTGTATGGACCTCTCCAGAACCACCTCAGAGCCCTGAGCTGAAGGTCTCATTCCCCCAGCATGCTGGGAGCTTTGGCTGCTGGCTACCTGCTCTCAGCTGTCTCTCTCAAGGACTTGCCCTCCCCTTAAGGTCACACCACATTTTGGGGCAAATATGAAGGTATCTGCTATGGAGGTAAAGGTCCGGCCTTTTGACTAGAGATATCTCACCTCCAAAGTGCCCTGTAGGGTCAGCTGAGGACTTCATTGCAAAGCACCCCAGTTCACTTTCCACCTCTGCCCCCTCTTGTGGCCCGCACTCCCCCACGGGTTGTTCCCCATCAGCTTTCCTCACTCCCATCTCCACCACAGTCTCTGCCCTCCAGGGACATAGACCAGACTTGCCCATGCTCCAGCCTCCATAGCCTTCTGCTGAGTTTCTTCTTTGCTGTTGCACCTGCTAATTTCCCTCTTCCTGTCTTTTGAGTTCAGCTACGAGAAGTTATGTTGGCATATTTTGTCCAAGATCCCTCCTTGTTTATGGCTGAAAGAAGAATCTTGTTAGCTCAGTCTGTCAAGTTCCCAGAAACAAGTCTGCTCTCAGGTTTTTAAATTTCCTTTGATTCTGTGTTTCCGTTGCTTTTTCATTACTCGGCACTTCCTCACATTCTTTCTATTTCAAGACTCCAGGTTGTCACAATCAACTTTCGCTCCTTCCCTACCATGAGGGACTTATCTCTCTGTTCATTTATCTCTGTCACAGACCTCTCTCTTTGTAATCATGCCCTTTAAGAATATTTTTATTTTCCTACTTATGATTATATTTGAAATATGTTACTTTACCTTTTCACTTCTTAATTTTCATTTTCAAGTCTTAATCTTACATTTATGCTTGAATTTTCCTTTTATTTTTTTTAATTTATTGTTTTCAAACTTTTCATTGGTCCAATTTTTTGATCTCTTATGTTAAAACTCATTCATTTTATCCATCTCTTACTGCTTACCCTTTCATTTTTTTTTTTTGACAGTTTGTTTATCTTTGTACTCAATTTTCTATGGCAGTTTGTTTCAGTTTCTCACTGTTGGTTATAATCATCTCTTATTTTGAAACAGATTTATTTTATCCCTATTATTTGTAATCAACATGCTGTGCTCTTGTAATTTCTACTCTCTAAACTATACTTGGGTTTTTGGGGGGCTTTGCATGTGCCCATTTTTGTAAAACTTTTATAGATACCTGAAAACAATATATGTATTATACTAGTATTATTAAATTATGTAGTATATGAGATAGCTCTCTAATATATATATTAGAGGCCTGTTGCACGAAGAGATTCGTGCAATAGGCCTTCCTTTCCCCTGGCTGCTGGCACTGGTTTGCCTCCAGCAACCAGGGCCCAGGCCTTTGCTCTGGCCAAGTTATGGCCGGAGCCGGCCCTGGAAACATCAGGCCACACTGCTCCGCCGGCCCTGGAGCCGTGAGGCCTTGCTGCTCCATTGACCCCAAGTCATCAGGCTTCGCTCCACCACTTGGAGCCTATGTATGCAAATTAACTGCCATTTTGTTGGCTGTTAATTTGCATATCATGCTGATTAGCTGATGGGAGGTGTAGTGAAGGTATGGTCAATT